GATAACGGTGTCCCTTGTACTGTGTGGTGATAACGGTGTCCCTTGTTCTGTGTGGTGATAACAGTGTCCGTTGTAGTGTGTGGTGATAACGGTGTCACAAGTACTGTGTGGTGATAACAGTGTCCCTTGTAGTGTGTGGTGATAACGGTGTCCCTTGTACTGTGTGGTGATAACAGTGTCCCTTGTAGTGTGTGGTGATAATGGTGTCACAAGTACTGTGTGGTGATAACAGTGTCCCTTGTAGTGTGTCGTGATAACGGTGTCCCTTGTAGTGTGTGGTGATAACAGTGTCCCCTGTAGTTTGAGGTGATAACAGTGTCCCATGTAGTGTGTGGTGATAACAGTGTCCCCTGTAGTGTGTGGTGACATTAATGCCCCCTGTAGTGTGTGGTGAAAGTGGTGTCCCTTGTAGTGTGTGGTGATAACATTGTCCCTTGTGGTGTGTGGTGATAACAGTGTCCCATGTAGTGTGTGTTGATAGTAATGTCCCCAGTACTGTAGTGTGTGGTGATAACAGTGTCCCTTGTAGTGTGTGGTGATAACGGTGTCCCTTGTACTGTGTGGTGATAACAGTGTCCCTTGTAGTGTGTGGTGATAACATTGTCCCTTGTAGTGTGTGGTGATAACAGTGTCCCATGTAGTGTGTGTTGATAGTAATGTCCCCAGTACTGTGTGGAAATAACAGTGTCCCTTGTAGTGTGTGGTCAAAGTGGTGCCCCCTGTAGTGTGTGGTGATAGTAGTGCCCCCTGTAGTGTGTGGTGAAAGTGGTGCCCCCTGTAGTGTGTGGTGAAAGAGGTGCCCCCTGTAGTGTGTGGTGAAAGTGGTGTCCCTTGTAGTGTGTGGTGATAACATTGTCCCTTGTAGTGTGTGGTGATAACAGTGTCCCTTGTAGTGTGTGGTGAAAGTGGTGCCCCCTGTAGTGTGTGGTGATAGTGGTGTCCCCTGTAGTGTGTAGTGATAGCGGTGCCCATTGTAGTGTGTGGTGATAGTGGTGTCCCTTGTACTGTGTGGCGATCACAGTGTCCCTGGTAGTGTGTGGTGATAACATTGTCCCCTGTAGTGTGTGGTGAAGTGTTAGGTGATAACGATGCCCTTGTACTGTGTGGTGATAACGGGGTCACAAGTACTGTGTGGTGATAACAGTGTCCCTGGTAGTGTGTGGTGATAACATTGTCCCCTGTAGTGTGTGGTGAAAGTGCTGCCCCCTGTAGTGTGTGGTGATAACGGTGTCCGTTGTAGTGTGTGGTGATAACGATGTCCCTCGTAGTGTGTGGTGATAACATTGTCCCCTGTAACGATGTCCCTTGAAGTGTTAGGAGATCACGATGTCCCTCGTAGTGTGTAGTGATAGTGGCGCCCCATGTAGTGTGTAGTGATAGTAGTGCCGCCTGTAGTGTGTAGTGATAGTAGTGCCGCCTGTAGTGTGTAGTGATAGTGGTGCCTCCTGTAGGGTTGGGTGATAGTGGTGCCCCCTGTAGCTGTAGTGTGTGGTGAAAGTGCTGCCCCCTGTAGTGTGTGGTGTTAGTGGTCCCCCCTGTAGTGTCGGAGGATAGTGGTGCCGCTTGTAGTTTGGGGTGATAGTGATGCCCCGTGTAGTGTGGGTGATATGTCCCCTGTAGTGGGTGGTGATAGTGGTGTCCCTTGTACTGTGTAGTGATAACGGTGTCCCTTGTAGTGGGTGGTGATAACGGTGTCCCTTGTTCTGTGTGGTGATAACAGTGTCCCATGTAGTGTGTGGTGATAGTGGGGTCCCCTGTAGTGTGTAGTGATAGGGGTGCCCCCTGTAGTGTGTCGTAGTGTGTAGTGATAGTGGCGCCCCATGTAGTGTGTAGTGATAGTGGCGCCCCATGTAGTGTGTAGTGATAGTGGCGCCCCATGTAGTGTGTAGTGATAGTAGTGCCGCCTGTAGTGTGTAGTGATAGTGGCGCCCCATGTAGTGTGTAGTGATAGTAGTGCCGCCTGTAGTGTGTAGTGATAGCGGAGCCCCGTGTAGTGTGTGGTGATAGTAATGCCCCCTGTAGTGTGTGGGGATAGTGGTGCCCCCTGTGGTGTGTAGTGATAGTGGTGCCTCCTGTAGTGTTGGGTGATAGTGGCGCCCCCTGTAGTGTGGGGTTATAGTGGTGCCCCCTGTAGTGTCGGAGGATAGTGGTGCCCCTTGTGGTGTGTGGTGATAACAGTGTCCCATGTAGTGTGTGTTGATAGTGGTGCCCCCTGTAGTGAGTAGTGATAGTGGTGCCCCTTGTAGTTTAGGGTGATAACAGTGACCCTTGAAATTTTAGGTAATAACGATGTCCCTTGAAGTGTTAGGTGATAACGATGTCCCTCGTAGTGTGTGGTGAAAGTGCTGCCCCCTGTAGTGTGTGGGGATAGTGGTGCCCCCTGTGGTGTGTAGTGATAGTGGTGCCCCTTGTAGTTTGGGGTGATAACAGTGGCCCTTGAAGTGTTAGGTGATAACGATGGCCCTCGTAGTGTGTAGTGATACTGGTGCCCCCTGTAGTGTTGTAATGTGGGGTGATATAATGTCCCCTGTAGTGTGTGTTGATAGTAATGTCCCCAGTACTGTGTGGAAATAACAGTGTCCCTTGTAGAGTGTGGTGATAACATTGTCCCTTGTAGTTTGCGGTGATAACGGTGTCCCTTGTTCTGTGTGGTGATAACAGTGTCCCCCGTGGTGCCTCCTGTAGTGTGTAGTGATAGGGGTGCCCCCTGTAGTGTGAAGTGATAGCGGTGCCCCTTGTAGTTTGGGGGGATAACAGTGTCCCTTGAAGTGTTAGGTGATAACGATGTCCCTCGTAGTGAGTAGTGATAGTGGTGCCCCTTGTAGTTTGTGGTGATAGTTATGCCCCCTGGAGTGTGGGTGGTATGTCCCCTGTAGTGTGTGTTGATAGTGGTGCCCCCTGTAGTGAGTAGTGATAGTGGTGCCCCCTGTAGTGTGTGGTGATAGTGGTCCCCCTGTAGTGTGGGAGGATAGTGGTGCCCCTTGTAGTTTGGGGTGATAGTTATGCCCCCTGTAGTGTGGGTGATATGTCCCCTGTAGTGTGTGGTGATAGTGGTGCCCCCTGTAGTGTGTAGTAATAGTGGTGCCCCCTATAGTGTGTAGTGATAGTGGTGACCCCTGTAGTGTGTAGTGATAGTTGTGCCCCCTGTAGTGTGTAGTGATAGTTGTGCCCCCTGTAGTGTGTAGTAATAGTGGTGCCCCCTATAGTGTGTAGTGATAGTGGTGCCCCTGTAGTGTGGGAGGATAGGGGTGCCCCTTGTAGTTTGGGGTGATAGTAATGAGTGGTGCCTCCTGTAGTGTTGGGTGATAGTGGTGCCCCCTGTAGTGTGTGGTGATAGTGGTCCCCCCTGTAGTGTCGGAGGATAGTGGTGCCCCTTGTAGTTTGGGGTGATAGTAATGCCCCCTGTAGTGTGGGTGATATAATGTCCCCTGTAGTGTGTGGTGATAGTGGTGTCCCTTGTAGTGTGTGGTGAAAGCGATTTCCCTCATAGTGTGTGGTGATAGTGGTCCCCCCTGTAGTGTCGGAGGATAGTGGTGCCCCCTGTAGTGTGCGGTGATAGCAATGCCCCCTGTAGTGTGTGGTGATATTAATGCCCCCTGTAGTGCGTGGTGAAAGTGGTGTCCCTTGTAGTGTGTGGTGATAGCAGTGTCCCTTGTAGTGTGTGGTGATAACGGTGTCCCTTGTAGTGTGTGGTGATAACAGTGTCCCCTGTAGTGTGTGGTGATATTAATGCCCCCTGTAGTGTGTGGTGAAAGTGGTGTCCCTTGTAGTGTGTGGTGATAACATTGTCCCCTGTAGTGTGTGGTGATAGTGGTGTCCCTTGTAGTGTGTGGTGGTAACGATGTCCCTCGTAGTGTGTGGTGAAAGTGGTGCCCCCTGTAGTGTGTGGTGATAGTGGTGCCCCCTGAAGTGTATGGTGATAGTGGTGCCCCCTGTAGTGTGTGGTGATAGTGGTGCCCCCTGTAGTGTGTAGTGATAGTGGTGCCCATTGTAGTGTGTAGTGATAGTGGTGCCCCCTGTAGTGTGTGGTGATAGTAATGCCCCCTGTAGTGTGTGGTGATAGCAATGTCCCATGTAGTGTGTGGGGTGATAGTGGTGCCCCCAGTGTGGTGATAGTGGTGCCACCTGTAGTGTGGGGTGATAGTGGTGCCCTCAGTAGTGTGTGGTGATAGTGGTGCCCTCAGAAGTGTTTGGTGATAGTGGTGTCCCAAGTACTTTGTGGAGTTAATAGATGCCCCCAGTACTTTGTGGAGTTAATAGATGCCCCCAGTACTTTATGGAGTTAATTGATGCCCCCAGTACTTTGTGGAGTTAAAAGAAGCCCCCATGGTTGAACTGGTCCATCCCAGGCTGTAGATCAGCTGGTAGCCAGCTGACTGCTTCTGTACACTTACCAGATATGTATCTATGTTAGCTGTCGTTCCCAGCCACAGCCAGAAGGGATCACATTACCCCATCACACACCAGCCACATCATTAGCCTGAGGACTACAGCATTACAGCACTGACAAATTGTACCTTGATTAATGGGTCATATTAATATGCTGTTGAAACATCATTTGTTTCTTAACACCATCACAACCAATTAGACTTGCAATGTTATCTAGATCGATGTCAGATAGTGAAATTGTGTGTTTAAGGGCTGGAGATGTGTATCTGCTGACATGGTTTATGTCAGTAGGTCTAGTCTGTCGCAATAAAACTAGGTTGTACTCTTAGAGTATTAATATGTTTCACATCTTTTCATCATTTAGGTTAAGTAGCCATGAGGTAGTAGATCAACAACAGCATATAAAAATAGGTTAAAAACTAATTTATACCTCAGTCCTGTATTTACCATTGACAAATCATTTCATCCATTGACAAATCATTTCATCCATGCTTTTAGATATAACTTGTAAACTAACCAAAAGATTTCTTATATCTTTAATATGTATATTGTGTACATAAAATTTGTGTCAACCAATTAATGAAGAAACCTGCATGATTTGTTCTTACCAGGCGATGTCACCAGATGGAGAGGCAATAGTAACAGGTGCTGGGGACGAAACTCTACGCTTCTGGAATGTTTTCAGCAAAACAAGGTCAACTAAGGTAAACCTGAATCAAGTTTTAGTTTTGGAATTTACTTACAATTTGCTCATTCATTACATATTCTGTACAAGTATTCCTAAATTGTACGTATCACACCATACATGTATTATTATTTGGAAGTAATACTGGAAATATCATGACCCAGCTCTAAAATTATCTCATAACATGCAGGATTACTGTGATTTTCTGATTGCAGTTGTTATAATATTGGAAATGTTTTGATTTAATGTGAAAAATCACCTTGTTTTATAACTATTATATAAGTACCTTCGCAGTAGTACATTGTACCTTGGTATATAGTCACACTGTAGCCAATTAAAGAAACTCGAATGAAGAGCCTTGAAATATGGTGTGATTGGGTCTCTTAATATGATGTTTAAATTTGAATTGTTGTCTTCAATGTGCAGTATAAAATTACAAGGATATACTATTAATGTACTTCGTTTTAAGAAGCTCTTGTGTTTCACAGAATTCAACAAAAGTCTTTTTATCTTTTGCAGGAATCAAAGTCAGTGTTGAATCTCTTCACACGAATCCGTTGAAGACTGTACATGTTTTTCGTGACCACATGTTGTGTATAAGGCTCATCTGACACACTGACATAGAGTGTCACATGTTGTGCCAAAGTATTACAGTGTCAAAATGTAAACAAAGTCAACCAGGACAGAGCCCACACAATTTGCACCCATCAGTACATCAGACAGAACTTTATATACGGATGTCATGACACATAATCATTGTCAGAGTAAGGTGTCAGAGTAAGGGAGGCAGGGGATTATTAAAAACACTGTTTCATTGCTGCCATATGGCATTCCAGAGAACTGGTTTTGTCGATGCCATACAAGGTTAATCATACAGAAAAAAGTTTACTTTTGACAGAAACAGCGTTGGCTATTTTCTAATGAAACATTTTGTTAATTTGGATAAGCACATATAGAAGATATTTGACAATACATATTTGAATCTCTTGATAATGGCAAAGCTGTTGTGGTATATTTGTCAATTTGTATTGTCAGTGGTAGAGAATATTGTATGCAAATCATTCATATAAACTCGTTAGATAGAATCAAACTTGTTATTTTACAAAAGTATTTAAAAGAATCCAGTTTAAAAAAATAATATTCGTTGCAAAAGAAATATGCCAGTTGACAAATGAAGGTTAATAATTTAGAAGTACATTGTGTGATAGAAACTTGTAGTGGTAGTGTAGATGTTCAACATGCCACCGATGCCTGTTACCATCAAATGTTTTACTGTTCGTTCAACCATATGATGTCTGTGCTGTGTGTCCATTATATGAAAGGGTTTCTACTGCCAGGTGCAATTCTTGACTTGTTACATTTGCTGACATAAACTTTGTGATTAATGTGATTCACACATGAAGTACGGTGTTTGAATCGTCTCGGTTTTGCTCTGTGGGTAACACAACCTGAGAACATGTTCACTAATTTAATGTAAAGTTTACCAGGCAGAGAGCTTGCCATGTTGTTAATAATTTTCTTGCATACACGTTTTTAATTTATTTTTTTCTTCCCCTTTTATATATATATATAATATCCTGATATTGAGTTGTTGTTTTGCTGGCAAAAATACTCTGGCAACAAACAAAATGTGGCGTAGAGAAGAAAACTTGTTTCCACAAAATAACACCACAAGTATTAATATATAATTGTTGATCAATAAAAGACTGAATATTGTGGACTTTCTGACCTACACTACCTAAGTGTCCCTGGGAAAAGATCAGACTATTCGACATCTGGTTTTCTCACTTTCATTGTACATCCTTTTCAGTCTCCATAGTCCCCATACTTCATATACATACATTACTACGGCTGCCAGTCATCGTGTATTGTCCCAAGTTATAAATCAATCAGTGTTTCATCAAGTCAATAATTTTGGTGCTATATGTTTTTTTTGTTGATTCATTAGATGTGGATGTAAACTTATCTTCACCAAAACTGCCATAATCTTTAGGATTGTCACTGGAAACAATTATTGTGGGAACAAATGAATGTTTTAGTCTCCCTTTTTTTTAATGTATTCATCCCTTCAAGAATTACTGGTTACCCCTCATTTCTGTTTCAAAGATATTTGCTTTCATTTACATTTAACGAGACGTTTTTATGGCCAGTTGCAGCAGTCTGTTAAGTGAATAATTGTCAATAAATCTTTTACTCCAATAATATAGGGATTGACTTAAGTGATCATAAGGCTTATACCTCATTGGAACAATTTCATCTTCATTAGATTTTACAGCCATCTATAAGCATGGCAGTGTTGTAGTTTAAAAGAAACAAAAATGTTAATGTTTTAAATTTTATAGCAAGACATTTGCATTTTACTATTATTGAGGGTTTGAACATTGGTTTGGGTTAACACTAGTTGATTTCTAGTTTTATTTTTAAGAATTGACTTAACCAATCAATCCTGGAACTGTATTTTAAGTTAGTTTATTTTATGAAAGATTTTTAAGGAAAATGTGCCATTATTTTCCTAGCAGCATAATCAGTTGTATCTCAAAGATTTCAGATATTTTCAGGTCAACACTTTCAGTCTTTTACAATGACAACACAAAAGTCACTTATACACTTAGTTTGAAGTTTTATGAACCTCCTTTATCTGGTTAATTTAATTTCTTGTATGTACATTGATATTTTTCATGATCTTAGCAAAACCAGTTGTACTTCCAATTAACCTGTAATTTATTTCAGCCAGAAAGTTGATACTTTCCAATCTGGCCGGTTTTTTCAAGAGTCACAAACATAAGGCTGGTCATTTAATCTTCATCGCATTTAGACTGTTGGTGTTTGTTTGTTAACTCATTCACCCCTGAAGATGCATTTAAACTCATTCAATTTAAAGGTTGGAATAGTTCATTATAAAATTTCAGGGGTGAATGAGTTAAGGGACATGGTTGAATGTATGATGTTTTGTCAGGGAATGTGTAAAGGTACATGTACATTGAAAGTACAGTATCAGAGAACTTAATAAAAAATTAAAGAAAATGTGTTGTTTGATTTCTCTGTTTCTCAAAATTGAAGTCGAGTCTGCAAAAACTCTACAAAATTGACAAAAGAACAGTCACATTCGAAGTAAAAAATTTACCTTTAAAAACTTAACATAATATACAATGTACAAATCTGATTATTATAATTACAATTGAAAACCTTAATATGAGGTCGTAAAATTCAAGATGCGCAAGGTCATTTTCCAAATAAGAAACTAAGGGGCCGTCACTGCACTACATTATAATTCCGGCGAACATTGATCTGTTAAATCTATCGTCTGTATCGCTGGGTCACACTGATGTGATCGTCGGCGAGGGCACAACTCATCACACACTGGTTAGCTTAACGAGTCGTTTTCGAAATGTATAAAAAAAAATTGAGAGTAATAATAAAAATTTACACATTTTATCGTCTATATTTTCGAAGGTCTGGGAATTTATTTTTAGCTTCAAATAGCAGTATATTTTGAAATGTACCAGACGAAAGGAAGGGTTTATTGTGGATGAACTAATCAGGTTTTGATCGCCTGTGTTCTGATGTGATGCTGACTGACCCACATACTGAGGTCGCGGGAGAGTGCACACTCCATGATACACTTTAATGTGTAAATAAAGCCGCCAAACTTCATATCGCTTGTTAGGTAACCGTCAGTACCAAAAGTGCCTACTACATTAGGAACACTGAAACATACGTATGAACGAATAACGTTTGAACATCAACATGCTACATCGTACAGGAAGGTTCGAGGCTTTACGTTTTACATTGTAATAATAAAATTAAGAAGCGTCAGTAATCGACCAATCAAGATCCTTTATAACACCACACGTCAAATAAACACTTGTAGTATTACCTATTTACTGTTAAATTTTACTTGTCGTTTCACACGAAACTCTCCAGTCGTGAGAATAAAGTTTCTTGTACAGTCGGACAACAATATAGCGTGAAAAATAGCAAACAGTGGTCATTTCCATTTGTGATGTTAGAATTGCCCTGCCGTTCTTCCAAATTTTAACGACGATAGGCAGTCTTTTGATAAACAGGGATGTACATTCTTGGTTTCGTAACGAATAACAGTTATATTTTAGGAATTGATAAAAATGGCACAAAACAAGACGAGAGTCCGGTATCATTGGGGTTACACATTTGAGGGTGACTATGGAGGGTCAAACCCGAGAGGCTGGTATCTTGGAAGTTATACGGATTAAGGTGACTATGGAGGGTCAAATCCGAGAGTCCGGTATCATTGGGGTTACACATTTGAGGGTGACTATGGATGGTCAAATCCGAGAGGCTGGTATCATTGGAGTTACACAGATTAGGGTGACTATGGAGGGTCAAACCCGAGAGGCTAGTATCATTGGAGTTATACAGATTAGGGTGACTATGGAGGGTCAAATCCGAGAGGCTGGTATCATCGGTGTGACACAGATTAGGGTAACTATGGAGGGTCAAATCCGAGAGGCTTGTATCATCGGGGTTATACAGATTAGGGTGACTATGGAGGGTCAAATCCGAGAGGCTAGTATCAGCGGGGTTACACAGATTAGGGTGACTATGGATGGTTAAATCCGTGAGGCTGGGATCATCGGGGTTACACAGATTAGGGTGACTATGGAGGGGCAAATCCGAGAGGCTTGTATCATCGGGGTTACACAGATTAGCGTGACTATGGATGGTCAAATCTGAGAGGCTTGTATCATCGGGGTTACACAGATTAGGGTGACTATAGAGGGTCAAATCCGAGAGGCTAGTATCAGCGGGGTTACACAGATTAGGGTGACTATGGATGGGCAAATCTGAGAGGCTTGTATCATTGGGGTTACACAGATTAGGGTGACTATGGAGGGTCAAATCCGAGAGGCTTGTATCATTGGGGTTACACAGATTAGGGTGACTATGGAGGGTCAAACCCGAGAGGCTAGTATCATTGGAGTTATACAGATTAGGGTGACTATAGAGGGTCAAATCCGAGAGGCTAGTATCAGCGGGGGTACACAGATTAGGGTGACTATGGATGGTCAAATCCCAGAGGCTTGTATCATCGGGGTTACACAGATTAGGGGGACTATGGATGGTTAAATCCGAGAGGCTGGGATCATCGGGGTTACACAGATTAGGGTGACTATGGAGGGGCAAATCCGAGAGGCTTGTATCATCGGGGTTACACAGATTAGGGGGACTATGGATGGTCAAATCCGAGAGTCCGGTATCATCTGGGTTCCACAGATTAGGGTGACTATAGAGGGTCAAATCCGAGAGGCTAGTATCAGCGGGGTTACACAGATTAGGGTGACTATGGATGGTCAAATCCCAGAGGCTTGTATCATCGGGGTTACACAGATTAGCGTGACTATGGATGGTCAAATCTGAGAGGCTTGTTTCATCGGGGTTACACAGATTAGGGTAACTATGGAGGGTCAAATCCGAGAGGCTTGTATCATTGGGGGTATACAGATTAGGGGGACTATAGAGGGTCAAATCCGAGAGGCTGGGATCATCGGGGTTACACAGATTAGGGTGACTATGGATGGTCAAATCCGAGAGTCCGGTATCATCTGGGTTACACAGATTAGGGTGACTATAGAGGGTCAAATCCGAGAGGCTTGTATCATTGGAGTTACACAGATTAGGGTGACTATGGAGGGTCAAATCCGAGAGGCTTGTATCATTGGAGTTATACAGTTGAAAGTGACCGGGGACTGAGTCACTCTCAACTGTTTAACTCCCTGTCACTAATAATATAGCTGGACAATCAACATTAAAAATAAGTTTCATGCTGAAAAAAAATCTGTTTTAGGATTTGAAAAAATACAACCTTTTACCACTTTCGAAGCGAAACAAAATCCGCAAACGCTGGTGACCTTCACATTTAGTGAAAAATGGAGGACGTCATTTTATATGTGTATATATCTGCGGTTAGGGACAGAGAATCAAATCCGGTATTGTACGTAGACCTTTCTTTGGCCTACAATGACCTTTTCTACCTGATTCGTATGCATGTAATTAACAACATGTGGTGTTTTTTTTAGTGACATTTCATATTTTTTCAAGAATCGGCATCATCTTTGTACTATGAATATGTCCAAAACTAGTAAATATACCGCGGATTAATGCCATACATTCAGAGACATGTAAATGTTTAGAGCTCCCATTTATTTTGTCCTTAGTGAAGAGACTCCTCACACCCTCTTTCTTGATGGAGGCCGGGGCGTTCTCCTGTACCCTCACGCCTTCATGGAGGCCGGGGCATTCTCCTGTACTCTCACACCTTCATGGAGGCCGGGGCGTTCTCCTGTACCCTCCCACATGTCGCGATGGAGGCCGGGGCGTTCTCCTGTACCCTCACACATGTCGCGATGGAGGCCGGGGCGCTCTCCTGTACCCTCCAACATGTCGCGATGGAAGCCGGAGCGTTCTATTGTACCCTCATACCTTGATGGATGCCAGGGCGTTCTCCTGTACCCTCACACCTTGATGAATGCCGGGGCGTTCTCCTGTACCCTCACACCCTGATGGAGGCCGGGGCGTTCCCCTGTACCCTCACACCTTGATGGAGGCCGAGGCGTTCTCCTGTACCCTCACACCTTGATGGATGTCGGGGCATTCTCCTGTACACTCACACCCTGATGGAGGCCGGGGCTTTCTCCTGTACCCTCACAACCTGATGGAGGCCGGACCGTTCTCCTGTACTCTCCCACATGTCGCGATGGATGCCGGGGTGTTCTCCTGTACCCTCCCACATGGCGCGATGGAGGCCGGGGCGTTCTCCTGTACCTCCCACATGTCGCGATGGAGGCCGGGGCGCTCTCCTGTACCCTCCAACATGTCGCGATGGAAGCCGGAGCGTTCTATTGTACCCTCATACCTTGATGGATGCCAGGGCGTTCTCCTTTACCCTCACACCTTGATGAATGCCGGGGCGTTCTCCTGTACCCTCACACCCTGATGGATGCCGGGGCGTTCTCCTGTACCCTAACACCCTGATGGAGGCCGGGGCATTCTCCTGTACCCTCACAACCTGATGGAGGCCAGACCGTTCTCCTGTACTCTCCCACATGTCGCGATGTATGCCGGGGTGTTCTCCTGTACCCTCCCACATGTCGCGATGGAGGCCGGGGCGCTCTCCTGTACCCTCCAACATGTCGCGATGGAAGCCGGAGCGTTCTATTGTACCCTCATACCTTGATGGATGCCAGGGCGTTCTCCTGTACCCTCACACCTTGATGGAGGCCGTGGCATTCTCCTGTACCCTCACACCCTGATGGAGGCCGGGGCATTCTCCTGTACCCTCACAACCTGATGGAGGCCGGACCGTTCTCCTGTACTCTCCCACATGTCGCGATGGATGCCGGGGTGTTCTCCTGTACCCTCCCACATGTCGCGATGGAGGCCGGGGCGTTCTCCTGTACCCTCACACTCTGATGGAGGCCGGGGCGTTCTCCTGTACACTCACACCCTGATGGATGCCGGGACGTTCTCCTGTACCCTCAAACCCTGATGGAGGCCGGGGCGTTCTCCTGTACCCTCACACCCTGATGGAGGCCGGTGCGTTCTCCTGTACCCTACCACATGTCGCGATAGATGCCGGGACGTTCTCCTATACTCTCAGACCCTGATGGAGGCGGGGCGTTCTCCTGTACCCTCACACCTTGATGGAGGCCGGGGCGTTCTCCTGTACACTCACTCCCTGATGGATGCCGGGACGTTCTCCTGTACTCTCAGACCCTGATGGAGGCCGGGCGTTCTCCTGTACCCTCACACCCTGATGGAAGTCGGGTCATTCTTCTGTACCCTCACATCCTGATGGAGGCCGGGGCGTTCTCCTGTACCCTCACACCCTGATGGAAGCCGGGGCGTTCTCCTGTACCCTAACATCCTGATGGAGGCCGGGGCGTTCTCCTGTACCCTCACACCCTGATGGAGGCCGTGGTGTTCTCCTGTACCCTAACACCCTGATGGAGGTCGGGGCGTTCTCCTTTACCTTCCCAAATGTCGCGATGGAGGCCGGGGCGTTCTCCTGTACCCTCCCACATGTCGCGATGGATGCCGGGGTGTTCTCCTGTACCCTCACACCTTGATGGAGGCCGGGGCGTTCTCCTGTACTCTCACACCCTGATGGAGGCCGGGGCGTTCTCCTGTACCCTCACACCCTGATGGAGGCCGGTGCGTTCTCCTGGACCCTACCACATGTCGCGATGGAGGCTGGGGCGTTCTCCTGTATCCTCACATATGTCGCGGGAGGCCGTGGCGTTCTCCTGTACCCTCACACATTGATGGAGGCCGGGGCGTTCTCCTGTACCCTCACACCCTGATGGAGGCGGGGCGTTCTCCTGTACCCTCACACCCTGATGGAGGCCGGGGCTATCTCCTGTACCCTCCCACATGTCGCGTTGCTTCTTGATTGCCTTCTTTAATAGCAGTTGCTGATATAATAAGTTCAAAAATGTCTGCTTTTGTATTGGGTGCTATTTCACTTACCATTCCAGTTTTAAAAGGGGTTATCAACATGATGGATAGGCGAAATGCTCCGAATGTATTGATATTACGGTAAGGATAAGGTTATAATCAATAAATCATTTGGTTATATCTTTCACCAATTCATTAAAGTGGAACAAAAAGTAAAATGGCCCCTTTACACTTGTTGCGATCGAAACCAAACGCTGTTCCGCATACATACCGTACTGTAAGTATGGGGAGAACTTGTTTAAGACCTTTACTATCATTACATCTTGTTATGCACTTAAACCGTAATTGTAAATTAAACGAACGGAGAATGGTTTGTGTAAAGGTCTAAGGTGATTGATTAAATGGATTTTTATCATCATCATTTTCTTAAAGTGATCATTTGCATGTGATGTGACTTTGGAAGTGTACACGATTCGGATTAGTCGACACCCATTACCTTGATAGACACATTATTGGTTTTCCTCTCTAATCTTTACCGACCACGACAGTAGCACGTGACACTGGCCTCGTGCCTTATCGCGTACCCACTCCCGCCATTCACTACAATTGTTGCCCACTTTTATTATTGCCTTGTGTTTTTGTCTGTCTGGGACAAAGTCGTGTTTGAAGTTCCACAATAATCCCTTACTATCTACAATGTCTGTTGGCAAAGATAAGCGGAACTGAAAACAAACCAATTTGTCAAGGAACCCAGTTTTTCTTTCAATTATGCGACGTCACTAGATACCTTCTATGGTTTTTACGGCAGAATATTATTGCTATTATAATCCACTTAACTTCGCGCACGATACACGCGCGATCAAAAGTAGGCACGTTTTCCAATTAAATTCCGTCACCTTAGCCTCGGCGATAATCATACATGGTGAAAGTTTTCGTTGTGACGTGCTGTTTCATGCAGAGGCTGGCGGCCGGTGATTGACGGACACCGAGTACGTCATCGACTCGACCGACCACTTGTGCCAGTAAGTGGAGGTGTTATCTCGATAGTGTAGGCTACACTTGAAAGCGTCCAGCATTTTAAGTATGTACATAAAGGACTATTATTCGTATACACGGTGTCAATTTCTTTGTTTTGATATTGTTCTGCTTTTACGTTTAGTAAAAAAAAAAATCCTATTAAATGACTCTTTTTTCAAAATGACTGGTTTCAGAAATACCCTTTCAATTAATAACCATTTTGCGGTGTTTTTTTGAAAATAGATTAACAAATATATTTCAGTTTTTAACCCTATCGCATGTTATTCATTATGTAGTAATAATAGTTCAATAATTCAGACTGTTTACTTGTTTATAATTACGAGCAGTCGTCCAGGCAGCAACACACATGTATTTATCACAGGCAAAAATAGTACAAATACGCGCGATTTGCTCAAATCATCAGGACAATGACATAGATTCTGTAGCTTATATCTTTGTAAATTACCATAAGAAAAAAACACCCATAGTGGCGTCTTGACACGAAGTCAAACTGACGATGTTGAAGACTCATGTTTTCTTTGTGAATGTTCGAATACATTCTCGGTAAAATGATAAATATTGGCTTGAATTCGTTTCCATTTTAAACGGAATTTAAGAAAAATCATTAAGATTCTATAAATGTAATACTCCGCAGAACAAATGTATATTATAACCGGAAAAAGATGATACAATGATCCTAATTAGGGTATTGTAAACTAATAACGATATTACTACGTTTTGTATAAAAATGTGAAACAAAAGCACAAATATTGTGAACCTGCCACCGCAAACAACAATCCATGGATATCAAACACTGACTGACGCAGACCAATGTAAGTCTTACGGAGTTTATCTATTGACACGTTCCTGTGTGGAAGTCAGACTCTACGAAATATCAATAATTATGTCCTTTTGAACAGACTGACTAAGATCGTAAAAGAAATGAAAGCCCCTACGTGTGTTATCTGTGTCGGAAGGAAGTCAAAGGAAATCGTGAAAAGCCGGATATCCCTAAGTCCAAGAAACACGCGCCTTGATCGGATATCAAGTTTACATAATGGAATAATACAAGCACAGTTTTCAAGTGAAGTGTCTGCATTTGAATAGTATATCAAGACAAATTACAAACTGATCCTTGTGTATATCCGTGAACCAAATAGTCGACTCAATTAAACAATTGTCACGTGGATAATAGTGTACACTTCCCGTAACATTGAGTTGCTTCCTTAATCAGTTTTGGTTCGGTAGGAACATTAAAAACAGAAATCCCGGTTTGACATTTACAAGTAACTTCCTGCTGTTTTGACTCGATTTTAATGTGGATCTGAAGGTAAACTGAAGATAGCCCGTCGATCAGAATTTGACATGGTGACTTTTTGCACGCATACATGTATATGTCTGGCTTTAAATGTGACCCGTTGCAGCTATATCGTAAAATGAATTATAGAAAATACAGTGTATCGAGAGTTTTACTGTCTGAACGTTAGTATCTTTGCAGGTTTTCTGTAAGATTATGTTGTCTTTGACTCTTACTTTGTAAATCACAGTACCGCGCTACTTTGAGAGCCGATATTGAAGGAAAAGACAAACGTTGTCGCATTCTCAGTATCATTTGGATAAGCGTAATTCGTTTTTTTTGCATATGCAAAATTGTTTTTATTGGGTATGCAGTATTTCTATGCAAAAAATATTTCGGGTATGTAAAAATACCGATTTTCAGGTATGCAATGTTCGATTTTTTTTAGTAAAGTATATAATTTCTAAAAGTCCTAAATCGTTTAATTGTGGCGCATTTCTCACGCAAAATTGGTCCAGATATTGTAATTTACTCTTTATAGAGAACACACGTAGCACAATGAAGATTCGCCTTACAACAAGAGAACAAACTAGTTTTAAAAAGACGGAGTAGGGTGCACATGTACTCTCCGTTATCAGTTTTGAGGACAGTTGCCGTATTTGACTTCACAGTGAAGCAACTGATGTAGAATACAACGGGTGGGAAAACAACGTTGATGTCTCGGATTCAAACGTGGAGATTTAGTTGTGAGTGAAATTGATGAAATAACAAGAGAATATTAAAACGTTAGAGTATACTAATACTAAACCTGATATTTTTCCTATATTATCTTTTTACGTTCGTATCTGTCTAAAACACTTTAACACCTTTGAATTTTATACCAATGTGAAGATAATAGAAATGACTTCACACGGGGATTCGCATGAGTTTATAAATAACGTAGACGGTTTTTGCCTTGGGCTTTCCCTCATCAGTCGGTGGTAACGATAGCCATATTTATTAAGACGTTAGCAACAATCCGCCACATCCCCGATTAAGGTCACTCTTGTAAGACTAGAGGGTCAGACTACGGATACATTTCATTAAAGATTTCCACAGAGAAGTTGTTTATGAATTAATGAAAACACACACGGATATATATTTATATGATGTTTAACAGCATGTACGAGTGTTTTGTAATTTTTAAGCTATTAAGCAATACCTTACATGGTATGGAAAGAGCCTATGGTACTGCAACGACGAAAGCTTGACCTCTCCAGAGGAGCATCTACCGTTGGGTACTGGGCTACCACTGTTATCTCAATCACCCCTACATATTTTAAAAGTTGACTTGCCTTGTCTCTGAGTTAAGTTGACTTGCCTTGTCTCTGAGTTTGAAAGTTCAAATGTGAAGTTAGGGGTGAATTTGTCAGTGATAGGATATCAAGTTTACGTCCAAACCCGAGAGGAAGAGGACTGCTTAAAAACATTGTGTCCAGCAACATATGTACACGCTACTGTCTCCGGACACAGAAGGGAGAAGAACCTAAACCTGTCCAGATTGACGCTGTCACTATACAGTCGGTTTAGGTACTTTTAACCAATAACTCATAAAAATTAATTGAAACAATTTTGTAAGCTTTATCGTCACCAATTGTTTACTTAGAAACATATGTACCCAGTATGCAGAAAAAATATCGTGTTTGCACATGCTTCATTTATTTTCATATATCATATATTAACTCATATGTTTTGCTTTGCAAATAGCAAGATCCTCAAACAAACGAAATATATTGACAATACTAAAACGTCTGATTCCTAAGAGGAAATCACCATTTTTTATTGTCTTTTTAACGTCATTTTGACGTGTTTTGTCAGTGTCAGCAAGTATCATTATCAATCCTGAATGTCATATTATTACCATCGATTTATTTGTTTAAAACAAAGTCATCATTTAACACGCAGGGGTCATGATCAGCGTAATAGAACTAATGAGAAATGGTCACAGATTGTGCGTTAAAAATAGGAGTTATCTCATCCATTGTCACACCGATGTACCACTGTTGACACGAACAGATGCGCAACAACAATAATATAATAAATATTCTTGTAGTTCCACTTTCGGATATATTTGTCTGAATTATATTATCTAGTACGTAGTCCTGTAGAATTCTGCCGAAGCACAACGGAAATACCCTGAGTCTCGATTTCCGATGACGACGCTTACTTAAAGGTCAACGGTCAATTTGGACTTTACTGTTATGAGTTCACGAGGAATCTTCGCTATCGTCTCCGTGATAATAGGATCCGAACGAACTTTTGTCATCGTCCCAGTCGATGGTTTGGTGCCTGTCGTCCTCTTTGATGTCGTCACGACTTGAATCACATTCTACTTCCGTTTTGACCTGTCCAATCATCTCACCGTTTTGATAATTTACAACGTTGTTGAGGAGGTTGATATAACGAATTGTCAATCTGAGTATTTCATGCTTGCTTAGTTTTTTGTCCGGTGGATGAGTTGGAACAAGTTTACGAAGTTCTGCAAATGCTCCATTGACGTTTTGTTGCCTCCAACGTTCGCGGCTGTTTGTAAAAACGCGCCGATGTACTTTTCGTATCGGAAGACCGTCGCTGTCCGTGTCGCTACATCGGTTTGAATGTTTCCTGCGGAGATCCAGGGCGCATTCCTGGGTCCCAATATCTGATGTACTTACACTCAACCCTCTTGGGGACATGAGGGGGTACGGTACACTCTGAAGACAAATAAAGCCCGTGTCTTTGCTCTTTTGGTCCGATTCACAAAACACGTTATCGTCACTTTCGTCTTGATCTCGCATACAGTCATCGTCCCTGTCCTCTGACACAAACCGGTAGGTGTCGTTGTTGACATCCTCATACAATGTATCACTACTTGCACTACTTGTGCTGTATGCCAGTTTCATCCTGCGACTCACACATCCGCTGAGGTCATCGATACTGTCATGCCTCTCCTGGCCTATGTATTCTTGTCTCCCGTGATCTATTGATCCCAGTCTGATATGACCTATTGACCCAATGCTGTACTGGGATGTCATACTTGAACTTGAGACGCTTCGATTCCCTCTTGGAACACCTAAAGCATCCTCCCTCCGGTCCAGACGTCTTGAAATTGGCATTTCTTCTGACTGTAAACATAAATATAAAGAATACAAAATGTTATTTGTTCGAAAAGTTGTACAACCAACACACACGTCGGAAAAGTAGTACAAACAACAGACACGTCGGAAAAGTAGTACAACCAACACACACGTCGGAAAAGTAGTACAATAACATACCAGTCAACACGGTGGTAAAACCAACACACACGTCGCCAAAGCAGCACAATAATCACGCACGTCGCCAAAGAAGTACAACCAACACATACGTCGGAAAAGTAGTACAAACAACACACACGTCGGAAAAGTAGTACAATAAACACACACCTCGACAAAGTAGTACAACCAACACACACGTCAACAAAGTAGTACAATAATCACGCACGTCGCCAAAGTAGTACAAACAACAAACATCCACAAAGTAGTACAAACAACACACACGTCGGAAAAGTAGTACAACCAACACTCACGTCGACAAAGTAGTACAACTAACACACACGTCAACAAAGTAGTACAATAATCACACACGTCACCAAAGTAGTACAAACAACAAACATCCACAAAGTAGTACAACCAACACACACCTCGACAAAGTAGTACAACCAACACACACGTCGACAAAGTAGTACAACCAACTCACACGTCGGAAAAGTAGTACAATAAACACACACGTCAACAAAGTAGTACAACCAACACACACGTCGACAAAGTAGTACAACCAACACACACGTCGACAAAGTAGTACAATAAACGCACACCTCGACAAAGTAGTACAACCAACACATACGTCGGAAAAGTAGTACAACCAACTCACACGTCGGAAAAGTAGTACAATAATCACACACGTCGCCAAAGTAGTACAAACAACACACACGTCGACAAAGTAGTACAACCAACACTCACGTCGCAAAAGTAGTACAACCAACACACACGTCGGAAAAGTACTACAAACAACACACACGTCGACAAAGTAGTACAACCAACACACACGTCGCAAAAGTAGTACAACCAACACACACGTCAACAAAGCAGTACACTAAATACACACGTCGACAAAGTAGTACAAACAACAAACATCGACAAAGTAGTACAAACAATTCACACGTCGACAAAGTAGTACAACCAACACACACGTCGAAAAAGTAGTACAATAAACACACACGTCGACAAAGTAGTACAACCAACACACACGTCGACAAAGCAGTACACTAAATACACACGTCGACAAAGTAGTACAAACAACAAACATCCACAAAGTAGTACAACCAACACACACGTCGACAAAGTAGTACAACCAATTCACACGTCGACAAAGTAGTACAACCAACACACACGTCGACAAAGTAGTACAACCAACACATACTTCGCCAAAGTAGTACAACCAATTCACACGTCGACAAAGTAGTACAACCAACACATACGTCGGAAAAGTAGTACAACCAACACTCACGTCGCCAAAGTAGTACAAACAACACACACGTCGACAAAGTAGTAGAACCAACACACACGTCGACAAACTAGTAGAACAAACATACCAGTCAACCAGATGGTAAAACCAACACACACGTCGACAAACACACACGTCGGAAAAGTAGTACAACCAACACACACGTCGACAAAGTAGTACACTAAATACACACGTCGACAAAGTAGTACAAACAACAAACATCGACAAAGTAGTACAAACAATTCACACGTCGACAAAGTAGTACAACCAACACACACGTCGAAAAAGTAGTACAATAAACACATACCTCGACAAAGTAGTACAACCAACACACACGTCGACAAAGTAGTACAACCAACACACACGTCGACAAAGTAGTACAACCAACACACACGTCGACAAAGTAGTACAACCAACACACACGTCGACAAAGTAGTACAACCAACACACACGTCGACAAAGTAGTACAACCAACACACACGTCGACAAAGTAGTACAACCAACACACACGTCGACAAAGTAGTACAACCAACACACACGTCGACAAAGTAGTACAACCAACACACACGTCGACAAAGTAGTACAACCAACACACACGTCGACAAAGTAGTACAACCAACACACACGTCGACAAAGTAGTACAACCAACACACACGTCGACAAAGTAGTACAACCAACACACACGTCGACAAAGTAGTACAACCAACACACACGTCGACAAAGTAGTACAACCAACACACACGTCGACAAAGTAGTACAACCAACACACACGTCGACAAAGTAGTACAACCAACACACACGTCGACAAAGACACACGTCGGAAAAGTAGTTCACTTAACACACACGTCGACAAAGTAGTACAACCAACACAACCGTCGGAAAAGTAGTACAAACAACACACACGTCGGAAAAGTTGTACAATAAACACATACCTCGACAAAGTAGTACAACCAACACACACGTCGACAAAGTAGTACAAACAACAAACATCGACAAAGTAGTACAAACAACAAACACGTCGGAAAAGTAGTACAACCAACATACACGTCGGAAAAGTAGTACAACCAACAAACACGTCGGAAAAGTAGTACAACCAACACAAACGTCGGAAAAGTAGTACAAACAACACACACGTCGGAAAAGTAGTTCACTAAACACACACGTCGACAAAGTAGTACAACCAACACAAACGTCGGAAAAGTAGTACAAACAACACACACGTCGGAAAAGGAGTACAATAAACACACACCTCGACAAAGTAGTACAACCAACACACACGTCGCCAAAGTAGTACAATAAACACACACCTCGACAAAGCAGTACAACCAACACAAACGTCGGAAAAGTAGTACAAACAACACAAACGTCGGAAAAGTAGTACAATAAACACACACCTCGACAAAGCAGTACAACCAACACAAACGTCGGAAAAGTAGTACAAACAACACAAACGTCGGAAAAGTAGTACAATAAACACACACCTCGACAAAGCAATACAACCAACACAAACGTCGGAAAAGTAGTACAACCAACAAACACGTCGAAAAAGTAGTACAACCAACACAAACGTCGGAAAAGTAGTACAACCAACAAACACGTCGGAAAAGTAGTACATCCAACACACACGTCGCCTAAGTAGTACAACCAACAAACCCGTCGGAAAAGTAGTACAACCAACACACACGTCAACAAAGTAGTACAACCAACACACACGTCGACGAAGTAGTACAAACAACACAAACAACGATAAAGTAGTCAATACAAAACACACACACACACACACACACACACACACACACACACACACACACACACACACACACACGTCGACAAAGTAGTGCAAACATCAAACATCGTCAACGTAGTACAAACAACACACCCGTCGCCAAAGCAGAGTACAAACGACAAATATAATGTAAACCTAAAGGCATTCCAGCTGAAGTGCGTTTACCCAAAACAAAATGATATCTATGATACCATTCATGATTTCACCCCCTTTATGAAAGATAAAATTTATTTAGTAAACTAACCTCCACCAAATGAATTCAGATTATGTAAAAAATACATATAAACTATTTGTCAGTAACGTTGGCATTATGTATTTGTATACTTTCATATTACAAGCACGCAAATCCTCTTAGTCTGCTACATAGTTTGACGTTTACCTTCAATAGGGCATTAATTGGCCTCAATACCAAACTCTATGACAGTACGACAGAAATGGATACATAACTAATTCACTGTTTGGCAGTTACCTACATTATGTCAGAAATAGACATATAACTTATAATCCCTATGTCATTTACCTACAGTATGACAGAAATAGACACATAACTTAGAATCCCTATGATATTTACTTACATCATGTCAGAAATAGACACATAACTTATAATCCCTATGATATTTACCTACATTATGTCAGAAATAGACATATAACTTATAATCCCTATGACATTTACCTACATCATGTCAGAAATAGACACATAACTTATAATCCCTATGATATTTACCTACATTATGTCAGAAATAGACATATAACTTATAATCCCCATGACATTTACCTACAGTATGGCAGAAATAGACACATAACTTATAATCCATATGATATTTACCTACATTATGTCAGAAATCGACATATAACTTATAATCCCTCTGACATTTACCTACATCATGTCAGAAATAGACACATAACTTATAATCCCTATGACATTTACCTACATCATGAAAGAAATAGCCACACAATTAATAAACTCTATATGACATAATGTTCTGAAATACTGCTCTAGATGAAACATTCAAGTTATCATATCAAATGTCTGAATCAAATAAAGCTTAACACGAACGGATTTCATTCATAGTTAAGTTTGTAACAACATTATTATACATGTTATAGTGACTGCCGGACATCACTTCTACAGCGTCTCACGTAAAGTCTACACACCATCCAATAACATCGAAATCGATCGTTCAGCATGTGTATGTAAACATGCATGAAGTCAGATCTGTAGTCCAAATTTAGTTGGAAAGTTGGGTACAAACTAAAGTAATATATGAATATCAAGATCGATAATACTTGAAAGTGTCGCATTTTTGTGAAAGAGCACCAGAACTTCCAGTGAAATACATACTCTAAGCAAAGTATGATTTTGTCATGTTTACTCTGAGCTGACTCCGAGTAGGATCCTTTAAGGTGGTCATGTATACTCTACACTGCTAAGTAAGCTTTCAAGTTTCAAGTTTTATTCGAACTTAAGGCCATTGGCCCATCAGTATACGATACATATTATACATAAATCATGGACAATGTACAGAGAATGAATACAATCATATTCCATTATAATACCCTTAATGTGTTTGCCTCATAGATGAATTTTTCTAGTATACACAATTCTTTAATATTATGGACACTCAATAACTGAACGGCTTTCAACACATACGTTTTTTTCCAATAGTAGCTTTCGATAAAACGTGATCTGAGAATTTGGAATTTAGAACAGACTAATAAAAAATGAAATTCGTCCTCTACTTCAGAGGGGGAGTTACACTGTTTACAATATCTATGTTCTATAGGTATATAATTATA